TGAGTGGAGATCAAAAAATACTGTAGTTCAAATTCAACAGACTAAATTAAAGTTTCAGTCTTTTCAGCATGCGCCATTTTAGGGTTTGAAAGCATTGTCTTTTTCTGCTTAGGGTGATAAAACTAATGAAATTGCTAACGAGCTGCTGAATATCTCTTGTTAGTAATAAGAGGGGTAGGGAATTAGTACAAGATTGCAAAGCAAACGTATACTTACATTTGCATAGTGCACATGAAAACGTTTCTTGTATTGTTCTAACAGAGCTGATGTCTGGAATCCATAATCTTTTAGCGTTGGCGATTATTCTAGCAAGTTTATCATCAACTTTGGATAGTAGGTCGCACAGGGCGAACTGGTCTCTTTAATCGTCATTAAAGGTCACTTAAAGTAAACTTAAAGAACCGTTATGTCGTACTTTAAGTTTCAACTTAAATACTGAAATAGTCATTTACTGGTTATTTAAGTTGGGCTCTTAAAGGCCTTACTGAACTATTTACGGTACTTTAATATGTTTTATTAAAGTATCAGTAAGTAATCATTTACTGGCACTTTAAGTAAAACTTAAATATCAACGAAACTGTTACTTAAGTACTTAAAGTACCATTAAATGAACAGTAAACCTTTCTTTTCARGTACTTTAATTTGTCGCTTAAATATCGATATACCATTTCGCCAGAAATATAAAAACYCGATACAAGTTATTTTGCAAACCGCCATACAACAGATGTTAATAGATAAAGTGTTTTAATATCAACCAAATTCTTTGAATACAATTAATTTGTTTGGAAAAGAAAAATAGTTACTTCTGTTTTCAAAAATATAAAAAACGCTATATTTATGGAAAACATTATTACTTAAAATACTTTTATAAATCTATATGTATATGATAGAATACAGAGCGCATTCATATAACATTGCAAATAGTTCACATTGGATTCTTAATATCCATCATAATAACTATCATTTATAGAATTATATTACTGTTCTGTGGTTTGTGCGCAGCACTATGTTATTGCATTGTGATATAAGCACGCTGGGAGATTTACAGAACGAGAAAAGAACACGAGTGCCCTATATCTTCCAGCGTGCTTATATTACATTACACAGGTCAACACAAGTGGTTTGTGTTTTTTTATGATTTATKTTTTGGTTCGCAAAAGAAAAATTAAAACTCTCCTAAAGGAAGCAAAATACGAGATACAAAAACCATCAACTTGACGCGCAACAAAATCCTCTGTTGCGAGTTGAAGAAATCTCTCACGCTCTGATTAGTTGACATTCAAGAGTTTCGATGATAAAAAAAACATGAGAAACAAAGCCACAATTTGTATCTGAAAGTAGAACATGCATGAGTCTACTTTGCGCAACAGCTTTCTTCAACTCGCAAGAGAGGATTTTGCTGCGCGCCAAGTTGATCGGGCGCGATTAAAAAACGAGAAACATTGAACCTAAACTTGAACAGAAACAATGTTGCGCGTCAAGTTGATGGTTTTTGCATCATATACCGCCTTATATACCTTGGGCTGTAGACAAGCGCGCACAAGAATTAGCCCATCAGGGCGCGCGTTATTTTGTCCGTGACTGTTCTCTAGAAAAGATACGGTGGTATACCATTCAGAGATTTGATACTAAAAAAGAACTTAATTATATATAACATTTCTAATTGAAATTTAAGAAATCTCTTTAAGCTTTGCAAAAAAGTTTGTTTTGTATAAACATGCTTCTATCAAATATTATTTACAATGTGTGCAATCAATTAATGGCCAGTCTAGTTATTTTGCACACAGGCCCACTTTGGACAGCCCTCTGGGCATTTCCGTTTAGAGAACCCGGTTCTCTTTCTTTTGAGTTTCCTCATGGCTGTCTTGTCTGTATGAAAACTTGATTCAAATAGCTTGTCTAGTTTTCTTTTCCTCCTCTCAAGCCTTTCGCTCTCCCAGGGGAGCTGCTTCACTTTGTAAAATCTTGTCGAAGAGTTAGGTTCACAGTCTGACTCTTCAGATGACATGTAGTCTTCATGAAGAACCTCTGCCATTGATCCTTTAGCAGAGGTGGTCCATTTGCATTTATCCAATGCAATGGTTCTTCTTGTTAGTTTCTGTGGAGAAATGTTTGAAACAACATTTAAATCTAATGATTCATGAACTACATGTATTGGGATATTCTAGTCCCGATCAGACACATGTATGAACTTCACACTGCCTAAAGCACAYGAGCTAGAAGTTTCAAGCAGCATCTACAGATGTTTTCTAATAATGAGTGTTGTGTTTTCTGTACTTGATATCAATTTTTTTCTCTTGATATTTGCATGCTACAAAGACACATTTGACATAAATCGAGGAAAACATAGCATCTTCACTATTATTAACATGGTTCTATATATAACGACACATGGAACTAAMTAAAATGTAATAACATTTATTGATTGTCATTGTACCTCTTTAATTCGCCCTTGTTGTCTACACTTTTTTAAGTGCTCTTCATGCTTCCCACTTTTTCTCTTTTGAAGCGCCTCATATCTTGATAGGAAAAACCTTGAAAATGCACCTGATGTTGGAAATGGAGAATTAGCAAGTCACTAGTAATTAACTAATCTACATCTAACATAAAGACAGGGACTGATGGAGAGGAAAGAGATGATTAGGTTGTGTGTGGAATAACATAATTTGCATAAACTAAACATTTGTTACTACAATTCAAAATAATAGTTATACCTTCTATCTGTTGATCACTCCACACCAACTTCTCTAGTCCACCAACATGATGAATGATTTCACCTTYTACCCTCTCAAATATTGCATTGTTGTTAGCAGAGTCAACACTTGTACATGCAACAAAAACACATGAGTCGACTGTTAGCACGTGAGACACTCGCACAGTCTACAGCCATAAACTGAGACAGTTTTTGCTGTTAAACAGTGTCAAAGCCAATAGAAAAACTTCTTAATATTATTGTGGACCTTAGATTATAATTCAAAATAGCAATACATGGGTTTTACACAGTCGACTGTTAGCAAGTGAGACACTCGCACAATCTACAGCCATAAACTGAGACAGTTTTTGCTGTTAAACAGTGTCAAAGCCAATAGAAAAACTTCTTAATATTATTGTGGACCTTAGATTATAATTCAAAATAGCAATACATGGGTTTTACACAGTCGACTGTTAGCAAGTGAGACACTCGCACA